TGATAATGCCATCTTCTGGCAAAAAAAGGGAAGACTTTACTTTTTTTACAATAACAGCCAAGCATTCCTTCGGTTATTGCCAGGAACTAATTTTGTTTGTTCACTTAAGAGAACATAGTGTTCTAGGGCAGAAAAATATGACATTCTTCAGTGTGGTAGTTTCATATCAAAACCCAGGTTTTGTCCCCTGCAGAGCTATGGGGAAAATATAATCCTTTATTGAAAACAGGATTGAGACAAAAGCCTAAGACTTCTTAAAATAGTTGGATATAACATATTTTGGGAAAAAAGTGAGTCACTGTGGAGGTATAATTCTTCATGGGCACCCAGTTACAAGGTCAATCAATCTCAACTGTAAGGTTACTGAATCTTTATTATGACATCGCTTGTAATTCTTTGCTGTTCAGTGGTTGCCTTTCTCATTTTAGCTGGCAGAAAGACTCAACATCACTTTGAAGTTTTCATCACTTTCTCACACAAGGGACCTGCTTTGCCACTGATGAAAAAGATACTGAAGCTAATCAGTGAAACTGTGAAGTCAACAGAGTCCAGAGCATCTTTACTTACTTACACACAAACTAGCAGTGACAGAGGAACAGTTAATGGTGATATACCTTACTGCTGGAACATGTCTGAACAAGGGACCAGTCATCTTTATGTGGCAAATCTGGGTTCTCTACAACTTACTACTTAAGCAAGTAATTTTCACAACGATTTTAAAAGCCTGCCAAGTGCTGGTAACAGATAAGTACTTATTGTAGGAAAGCATTAGAATTTTATTAAGGGACCAAAAGCACAAAATAAGATTGCAATTTGTCATCAGAGAACTCCTCCTCTGTTTCAGTACTTTCAGGCTTTTTAAAAGTCATAAAGGTGGGGAAAAAAAGAAGTCAGTTGTAAACAGTAGAAACAAGTGGTTCCATTTTCTGTATTCTGAAGGAAATTAACTTACCACAAAATTAAGCTCTATGAGCTGATCATCCGTTTTAAAATGCTTTTAATTGTTAATTAGCTCTTACACAGATCTTTTCATTCCCAATGTATTTTTTAAAGTGGAGAAAAGGACTTCAAAGATACTCAGTGAAGCTCAGTCACTGTGAATAAAACGTATCATGTAACATCCCTATGTAGACTATTATAAGAATAAAGCAGCCTTAGACCACTCTATCTTGATCCTTATTAACATCTGATATATTGAAGATCTCAGAGCAGTGTTGATGCTCCCATGCCCTGTTGTCCCACTGTAGCTCATGCATATTTACCTGACAATTTTAATTGACTTCCACTGATATTCCTGAGTGTCACAGCCAAGACAAAACACAAGTATAACTATATCTGTATTTTAAACTGGGGAAATTAAGTCATGGCAAAGTAAAGAAATTGTGTGTGGCACTCCTACAACTGCAAACTGATGCAACTATACATTTAATCCTTCAAATAATCTAAGATAAACGTTCTGAATCATAAACTTCGGTCTGATCATTAAATAATTTTATTAGGCACAATTTTCAAAGGCATTTGATAAACATAGTGATTGTTAATTAAGAGTACAAAACCTAAACAGCACCTTGTTTTCCTGTCTGTCACTTCTTATTGTGTAAATCACTTTGCTTTACAAGTACCTTATAAAAGCAAAAGTTAAGAACTTAAAAAACTTGTAAACACATGTAGCAGATAGATATGTTTCCTCTCCTGACCACAACTAATATAGCAGTGTATTGTACCCATTACTTGTAACCACATTAACCCAAACAAGCCTTCTGTACAGGATCCATCCGTGCCAGTGTTTGACAGTTTTTTAAGTACAGAAGCAGAAGCCCAGAAAAAAAAAACAGATCCAGCAATCATACAAGAGAAAAGGGAGACATATTAACTCACATCACCAGTCATCCACCTTCTTATTCATCTGGCCATTACACTCTTTATTAACTGTGATCCAAAGCCAAATGTGACTTAGCCCTCCAGAAGTGAACAGATAATTTGCTTTTCCAGAGCACCAAACAAAATGTTTTACCTTTAATCATTCTGGCCTCATTCCTTGGAAATTAGGGTATTCATAGGTAGGGACCTATGAATCAGTGTTTGACACTGCAGCAGATCCCTTTCTAAGACCATATGATTGCACTTCAAAACTCCCAGGGCACGTACACAACATGGCATTAAACATTGTGTTGCTCAATGGAACGAATGTTGTAGCAGCCTGTTTTGAAGGAACAAAGCTGAACACTCACACCAGGTAACCACTTAGTTTCAGGACAGCTAAAAGCAAATGGAGAGGAGGGAATAATTTTAATGTCAAATGACAGCTATTTTGCAGATGGACCATGATGATGGTCTTCTCCCTGCAGCAACACTCCTACTTCCTTTTCTACTGATATACCAGCACAGAGTTGGTTACTAAAACTACAGTTCATTTCATTGCTTTCTGAATCAGGCTTAAAAACAACAGCTGAATGCTGGGAGTTTTTTTTGTTTTCCGACAGTTTTTTTTTTCAAATGGCAAGATACTGTTATTTTTTATATTCACCCCTTCATTCTAACTATGCCTGGTGACCTCAGCAGAAGAGTATCCATCCTACAGCTGATCCCTGACAACTGCTTAAAACAACAGCTGCATGGGAATGGGAAGTGTCTAATATTCAGCCACATGCCAAGAAAATAATCTGAGTTATATTGGGATGCTGATTATTTGAAAATTGTGCCCAAGCTTCTCCCGACTACGTAAGGTTTACCAAATGGTTTTCAAAATTTATTTTATAATTTTATCAAAATAAACTGCAATGCATCTGGAATTACACTGTATGACTGAGGGGGTGCATGGTTACTGAATTTAGCCCCATAGGCATTTATAGTTTCCCTCACTGAATTTAGCCCCAGACTGAGGAATTTTATAGATTCATCACTGGAAGGCTCATAGAATCAACAAGGTTGGAAACGACTTTTAAGATCAACTCCAACCTCTACTCCAGAACTGCAAAGGCCACCACTAAACCATGTCACTGAGGGCCTTGTCTACATGGTTTCTGAACACTTTCAGGGATGGTGATTCCACCCTGGGCAGCCTGTGCCTGACCACCCTCTCTGTGAAGAAATTGTTCCCAATATGCAATATAAACCTCTCCTGGCACAGCTTGAGGCTGTTTCCTCTTGCCCTGTCTCTTGTACATGGAAGAAGAGACCGACCTCACTTCACTACAACCTCCTTTCATGCAGCTGTAGGGAGCAACAAGGTCCGCCCTGAGCCTCCTCTTCTCCAGACTAAACATCCCCAGGTCCCTCAGCCGTTCCCCATCACATTTGTGCTCCAGACCCTGCACCAGCTCTGTTGCTTTTCTCTGGCCCCATTCCAGCATCTCAATGTCTCTCTTGTAGTGAGGGGCCCAGAACTGAACACAGGATTCGAGGTGCAGCCTCACCAGTGCCCAGTGCAGGGGGATGATCACTGCCCTGGCCCTGCTGCCACACTATTGCTGGTACAGACCAGGATCCTTTTGGCTTCTTGGCTGCCTGGGCACAAGCTGCTCATGTTCAGCTCTGTCAGTCAGCACCCCCAGCTCCTTTCCCATGAGCAGTTTCCATCTGCTCTTCCCCAAGCCTGGAGCGTTGCATGGGGTTGTTGTAGCCCAAGTGGAGGACTCAGCACTGAGCCTGGTTGAACCTCATAAAAAGAAGGGGTGTAGGACTGAGGCAGGGACACCGTGCCAGCTGCCAACCCCCTCCGGTAGCAGCCCCTCACCGCTGCCCCTCCCTGCGTGCAGGCTCTCCTCCCATTCTCCCCTGCCCTGTTCACGCCGTCCTGCCCTCCCCTCCCGCACACACCACAGCGGGGCAGGGCCTGAAGGAGGGAGCGGCCCTGCAGCCAGCTCGGGGTCCGCCAGGGACGGGGCTGAGGGACGCTGCGGGGCTGTCCCGCCACCCGGAGAAGGTGGCGGTGGCCTCGGGACAACTCCCCCCCTTCCCTTGCCGTAGCAGACCCCTTCTCCTCACGGCGGGCACGCCCCGCCCGCAGTCCCCCGGACACTCACCATCCGCGGCGGCACCCAGCGGCACCGACTAGGCCACGTCTCCATAGTAACCACGCTTTTCCCGCTTCAAACCCTCGCGCGCAGGCTTGCGCTCGCAACTAACCAATAGAGAGAGGGAACAACACGGATGGGGAGTGTCCCGGCGCTGAGAAACCAATCAGAAATCCCGGTGGCCGGAGGGGGCGGAGCCCAGGGAAAGGCGGGAGGGTGCGGGAGGACGCAACGGGAGGAGGAGCTGTCGTGATTGGTTGGAGCTGCCTTCTGTTGTGCGCCGCGCCCCGCCTACTCCCTGCCCCGGAAGTGAAGGTGAGAGAGGCGTGTCATGGTGGCCGCGGGTGGCGGTGGATAGTGCTTGGGGCCGCCCGCTGCTATTGCAACACCGGGGGGGCTCTGTGCCTCCCCCGGGCCGCCGGGCCTGGTCCCCGCCCCAGCCCGGTGCCACTGGGAGCCGCTCGTCACCACTGTGGGCACGGAGGGAGGGGTGCGGGGGACCGGCAGCAGTGGGGGGTCGCTGTCCCACCCGCCCTCGGTGAGGTTTGTCCTCCTCGGTTGTCGCGTCCGAGCGCGGCGTTTCCAGGCCTGCTCGGGAGGTGGTGCTGGTCTCCCGGCTTGGGCGGCCTCTTGACACCACGGCAGTCGGGAATGGTCCCCGCGGTGCCTGGTGGGGGGGGGGGGATGCCAGGGAGCGGGGGTTTTCTTTGGAGCGTCTGGTTTGATTGGGATTAATTGAGGCAGTTAAAGGGGGGTTAACCGAGAGAGCTGAGCACCGCCCTGGAGCTTTGGGTGTTGGCGAGGGACTCCGTGCTACGGTTTGGAAACTGGAGATGTCACGGCGCATTCCAGGGAAAAATGATGTGTACATTTATTACTTATTGAAATGTGCAGTTCTGTCAAAGTGCAAAGCTTTGCCTGGAACTGGGAATCACTGCGACATGGATTTCTAAATTGTTTTCTCCCTTTTTCTGTATAGGATCAGCTGTGTCGCTTATTGATCACAGTATTTGTCACTTAAGAGGTGTGTTCCTTTCTATTTACATCAGATTAATGCTTAACACATATGCCAAGAAGCTTGCGATTTTGTGCAACAGCGTCACGCCAAGCCCAGACAGCAGGGGGCCGTCCTTTGTAATTTGTTTCCTCAGCTCTGCCTCTGACACCCTGTGGAGTTCTCTGCTGCAGGGAATCTGTCTTGGGGAGTTATTTCTCTGTTACTTCCAATGATGTTGAGGTATTATCTTTGCACAGGGCCCTTGGATTTTTGCGGTGGAAAAGCTTCAGAATGCTAATTAGTGGCTTTCCTTTTGCCTTAGCATTTTTTTTTTCCTTTCTGCAGTGTGGTTTGTAATATATCAGCAGCAGAGAAATTATATGTAGGTCACATTTCATGCTTCTGATAACTTTATTTTTAAGAAAAGCTTTTATATTGGTTCCCGCTTCCTTGTCTTAAAAGGAGATGACTCAGATTTTTACAATTCAGATATCGTTAGTAAGACGCAGCTTAATTGTGTGGTAACTGTGATGGGGTGGATGACTTTCAGTGCATGCTGAGATATGTTTGCTCACTGTTTGATACAGTGAGTCTGTTTGAGCTCCAAGTTCTGTGTTGTTCCTGCTTGATCCTCTGTGCTCTTCCACAGTGCGGTTAACAGCAGGGCATGGCTGTGAGGGCCTGTGGCTTGATCGTCTACAGGAGGCTGCAGTCAGCACCATCTTCTAAGGTCACTGATGGTATTGAATACCTCCTCCTTCAGACATCCTATGGGACCCATCACTGGACCCCACCCAAAGGTGATGTTTGTTCTGGTAACACACTTCAAGGTTGTTTGTGTACAAGTGAGTGAGCTTATAGACTGAACTTTGGCTGAATGCTGCAAAGGTCAGCTTTGAGGGCCAGCTTGCAGTTGAAAGTAGCCACTCATAATGCGTTTTGTCTGATTGTGCTGTTTGTGCAGCTGGGTGGGGAGTTTTGTGGACAAAATTCTATGCAAGTTGTGATTGTATAAACTACTGTGCAGGACTGATTGGGGTTGAGGGAGTCACACACCATGCTCCTCAGATATCTGATGTTTCTGGCAGACAACTGAAATTAGGCAGCTAGGGAAATTTCTGCCTTCTTACTCAGGGTTTAACCCTCCAGTGGATATCACTGTTACCAATGTGTTGTCTGACCTCTGTATAAAAGAGGGGTTACGCTTTGCAGCTCAGTATTAAAGGGCAAAGTGAAGTGGGTGATGATTAATTTTAAAATACCTTTCTTAGAAGATGCAGGAGTTTCTTTATGTTCAGGAGATCATTAGTAAAGAGCATGTACCTATATAGCAGAGACAAGAGGGAATTATAGGATAATTAACGTTACCAGGCATCTTTAACTAAGGTATCCTTACTTGATCAGTGGTGCGCCAGAGGAGACAACAAGACCTGTGCCTCAAGACATGCAGGGACACCTTGTCTGTAAATACACGTGGCAGAGCCAGTGTTTGGTAATACTAGCTGCAGCCCTGGTACCAGGAAAAGTGTTGCACAGAAATATTTCAGGTTCCTTGTACATGGTCTTATATGCTAGTTTTTATCCCTGAGATGTATTTTGGCTAGTTTCTACCTCTTGTTTTGTAAAATGCAGTGCTCTTAAAGCATAGTGCAGAAGCAGCCTGTAACCAGGAATTCACAAATTGGAAAAAAAACTTGTGACAGTATCAGCTGTACTGTCCTATTAAGGGAAAGAACAAAACTTTCCAAACCTGCCCCTTTGTCCCCTTGACCAAAAGCCTAAGGGAGTACAGTTTGTAGCTGAAAAATACGTGCTGGGACATGATTGGTTGTTGTAAGAGGAGAGACCCATGTGGAAATGTTCACTGGGAGCACAGCAATTCTGGACAAGTGCTTGAAGTTACTTGTAGGCATTTCAGTAGGGAAAGGAAAAAAACCATAAAAAAATCATAGAATTGTGGAATGGTTTGAAGTGGGAGGGGCCTTGAAAGGTTCATCTGGTCCAGCTGCCCAGCTCTGAGCAGGGCCTCCTTGCACTAGGTGAGATTGTCTTCAAGCCCCGAGCAGGCTGACCTGGAATGTTTCCAGAGTCCTGGGCATCTCTCAGCTGTCTGGGCAACCTGTTGGAGTGTTTCAGTATTGTCATGGTAAACAGTGCTCTCCTTGTAGCTCACCTGAATGTCATCTATTGTAAGTGTAAAACCCTTGCTCTTTGTCTGCTGGCACAGGTCCTGTTCCAAAGCCTGTCCCCATTGTTCTTAGAAGCTCCCTGTCAGGCCTGAATGGCTGACAGAAGGTGTTCCCAGAGCCTTCTCCAGACTGAAGAGCTCCAGCTTTCTCAGCCTCTCCTTATAGAGAGGTGTTCCATTCTTCTGAGCAGTTTTGTGGCCCTCCTCTGGTCCTGTCTGAACAGGTTCATGTCTTTCCTGTGCACAGGGTCCCAGAGCTGGATGCATAACTCCAGCTGGGGGCTCACTGGAACAGATTATAGAGGGGAAGACTCCCCTCCCTCTACATATTGTTTAAGATTTATAGATCATCAGGCACAGTGTGATGTCAGTCTTCAATAGTAGCTTGGTACAGACTGGGAGCAGTAAATGAAGGGGAGCTATTACACTGAATGTATTCTGTTTTATGAGTGGTTTTCAGAGGCAGCCTGAGGTTGTGTGATGCAGTAACATAACTTGTATGTGATGCAGACATAGATTTAATGTGGCAGGAGCCAGAATGAGAGGTTGTAAGAGTCTAACCCAGAACGTGCAGAAGGCAATTTACAGCTGCAGCTGTACACTGGTGTTTTTAAGAGTTCCCTAAGCAGCTGCAACACTTACGGGATTAAATTGGACTTTCTTGGATCTCCCCACATGAGCTTCATCAGCCTCATCTCTTGCTCCCAGAACTGTGACTTTGCATTAGAGGAGGCTGATGGGAAGGGGGTGCAGGGTTCATTTTCTCCTCGGCATGTTGGAACTGCATTGGTGCGAATGGCTGGGAGGATCTGGAAGCTGTGAGGTACTGCCGGCAGCCCTTTTTCCACACAGTAGATAGACTACTGTACTGCACGAAGTTGGAAACTTACTGATCTTAGACCTGATGTTGTCAACAGCAGGGTGAGGTGATTATCTTTTGGTGTGCTGGAGGACAAGAGGTTCCACGAGTATTCTTTGAGTTGAAACTACATCTCAGCCCTTCAGTGTTATTGCTACCTCAACTCTTTGCACATTTGGTGTCTACAGATCACGACTTTCATAAAACGTAGTGGCTACTTACTCTTCATGGATGTTCTGTGGGCATTTGCTGTGGGTACTGTAAAAGTAGTCCAGCTGACAAGGCCAAGTGGATTCTGTTTCTATTAGCTGTAAGTCCCAGCTATGAAAATACATACTTTGTCATAAAGGAGACTGCACTGTTGAGACTTCGAGGGGAGTGGGGGCAGAAATACTTTTACTTAAAGTCTCGGTGTATTTGATGTCAAATATCTGAGACATCAAATGGAACATCTAATGCTGTTTTCTGCACGGTTGCTGTTTGAAATTGAAACATATTTTACATTTCAGATGTTGCAAGAGGTGTTTGAGCTTCTGGTAGGAAAGAAGTGAGCAAGACCTGTTGGGAAAGCAAAATGAGCTTCTCATCCCAGTTCTAGTACTAAAGGGTGGCTTTGGATACCTGAGCCCTGAGGAAAGATTCGTTTCTCTGATGAAATTATGGCTATATGCAGCCAGCTACATAGAAAAACAGGGAGACACCAGGGGCAGAACAAAGCTTAAACTTTTGCTTTTTTCCTTTTGAAACCTCCCAACTTTTTCTGCTTTGCTTTTTTTGAAATCTTGCTTGGCTTGCTCTATTTATGTTCTGGTCTGGAGCTTGCATGAGAAAACCAAATCTGACATTTCTCAACAAAAGTATAAGCAGCTGGGGATGTGTTATATTTATCCTTTGTTTGTAATGGCACCTCTCATTCTGAGTAACGTAAAATAAATGATGTGTCTTAGAAGAACTGCACAGCTGGTGAAAGGACTGGCTTTTAGGCTTGCTGTGTTTCAGAGAGGAATATGGGAGAAAAATAAAAATATCCCTAACTGTTGTTGGTGCCTGCTCCTGTTGTTTCTGGGCTGTGGGCAAGAGTGAGAGTTTTGCAGAACTGAGCCTTAAGCTTCTGTGGGAGGGAAGGCGTGAGTGAGGTCTAAGAACCTTTCAGATGAGCAGTCACCCCTCTAATGGGGTAAAGGAAGGGCACTTAAGAGGCACTCGGTCCTCAGTACAATTCAAGGTGGGACATTACAGACTTTAGAAGACAGGAAGAGGACTTGAAGAAAAGATGTCTAGTGCTTGACAGGCCACTGAGAGTTTCAGAAGATGGGATAAACAACGATCTTAAAATCCTCAAGACAAAGACAAATCAAGACATAAGAGTTGGAAAAGCAATCTCACTTCTCCAGTTTCTGTTTGATTCTTTATCGGCTACAGTATACTCTCATCCCTGTGTCCCGGTGTTTCCTAGTTAAATAAATGAAACAAAATCTGAGTTTTGTTCTCAGCAGTTTACTTTTTCACCTTCTTGACAGGCCATGTGGACCCAGGAGAGGATGACCTGCAGACAGCCTTCCGGGAAACACAGGAGGAGGCTGGTCTTCAGGCCAGTCAGCTCACCCTCATAGAGGGGTACAAGAAAGAACTGCACTATCCTGCCCATGGCAAACCGAAGATTGTCGTTTACTGGCTGGCAGAAGTGAAGGACTGTAACACAGAAATCAAGCTTTCTGAGGAGCACCAAGCTTTCCAGTGGCTGAAGCTGGAGGATGCTTGCAAGTTTGCAGAATATGAGGACATGCAAGCAATTCTGAAAGAAGCACATGAGTTTCTCTGCTCAAAAAAATAAATGCATTTGTGAAAGATAAGGGGAATTTATGAAGAAACATGGCCTGCCTTTTTTTTTTCTTGTTTTTTTTTTCTTTTTGCTTTATTTTTTTCAACCAGGGGAAGAACTTCATGGTTGCAAAAATTCAGATTCTTTAAATCGTACAAATTCAGTGAAGATACTTGAAGCTTTTGAAGAGCTTGTGCTTTTGTCTCTCCTAGCTTATGCAAAAAAAGCATGATTGAATCATGAGCCAGAGATGTCTGAATTGAAACCCAGAGCTAACAAGGACTTCCTCTGTTCCAGTCTCCTTTTTCACGCTTTTTTTTTTTCCCTCCTTGAAGTGCTGAGCAACCAAAGGTCTTTTTGAAAAATCAACCCCCTGATATTCTTGGCTTACCAAAGTAAAATTGCAGAGTTGATAAAATGAGCATGTGGAGATTTTTAATAGCAACATATTTACTGCAGAAGGTGCACCTTGCATTTCAAATAGAGAAGCAATAGTCCTGTTCCCACCTCCTCCACCATCATGCTGTGATAACTTGTCAAAATCATTTCAAGTCTTGTTTGTTTGTATCATGAATTTATGTACATCAATAATGTACTGTTATGAAAACATTCTCCGTCCGAAGAGTCTTAGTAAACACTTGATCTACAGTATTTAAATTGTAAAGTTGAAGTTCTTCTTTTGCCCTTTCTTTTCCTTTTCGCTCTTAAAACGACACCTTACCCATGCATTATTCAGGGGGTTGGGAAAGGGAAATGTATCTGCCCCATACAGCATTTTCTGCACAGAACAGCTAAGCTAGCATGCAATCTTGTGTCCGTTTGCTAGTGTCTGTGTTTCTGTGGTTGCAGCCAGCACCCATGTGCAGTGACAGTGCTGAGCTCTGGGTACTTGCGCCGGGTGATTGCAGAAACCCATGATAGTACCAAGGAGCTCACCTGTGTCAGATTCCCTGTGGGCCTCTCTCTTGTCAACTTGCATTGGTGAGAGCTGAAGCTGTTAGCTCTCAGTATGATTGTGCATGTTCCATTCATAATGATGGTTCATAATCTTTTGGCTGTTTTGGTACAAAATACCAAAAAAGCATGATGGCATTTTTAATATTTTTAGATGAGGAATGGGGTTTTCTGAATCCCAATGAACTTTGGGGAAAGACAAGTGTCCCTTCTTCCCTACTTCTCTAGCCTTTGCTGCTACACACATGGACCTTACAGAGCAAATGAGTGCATGAGAAAGTGGGTTCCACTCACACTTTGCCTTCCTCCTGGCTGCAGGAGTGAAGTGAGGGTCATCAGCATCACATTAGTGCAGGAGGAGACCTACAATACCAGAGATGCAGCATTACCGGGCTGAGAAATACGGGTGGCAGTTCAGTGTTGTGTTACTCTCCAGTTACACAGCACTCATCCTTTGGTGCAGTGTATATTGATAATGTTAGTACTACTGTGACAGTGGTGTCTTGCTCATCACTGTTATCTTCCTGAAGAGTGATTTATAAAAGCTCCCTCCTAGAGCATCCTTTTTTGTGTCTGTATGTGTGTGAATATATACATATATACACAAAAAAAGATGCACTAGAAGGAGGCTTTTAGTATATATGTATATACACACATAAGCAATTTTATTGTTCCTCAACTTTATAGTCAGATTATATTTGGATTATGAACACTGTTCATTGGGTTCAGGTGATGCTAGAGAGTGAGCAGCACGCAGGTTGTGCAATTGCTTTTAGCGTTTCTCAGCTAGCTTGAGAAGCAGAGGATGGAAGGTGTCTCCCACTGTCACCAGGTTCAGCCACAAGGCAGAATTGGCTATTCTGGAGTCTTTCCTGATAGATGTTTGGCTAATGTGATTTTTAAAACCTGATAAAGGCTCACACCCTCGGCTCCTCTGTCCATACATAGGAAAATTTGGTCTCTAGTATCTAGTGTAAACCAGCGAGAAATAGCTGAAAGATAACAATCAGTAAAAGAGAGAGGGAGAAAACAGTTACAAGCTTGTGCTGCTTCACAGTCTTATTTTTTAATTATCATTTGAGCTACCATTTCATCAGTGCTATGTAAACAATGGTGTTAACTGCCTTCATGTTTATGATCAAGATTAGCATAGCAAGCATGAGTTATAGACAGTCATTAACAAGTAATCTCTTCTGTCCAGCAGTAATGAACATAAGCACTTGTTGCTTTGAAGAGCACATTAGCTGAACTCTGAGGAAGTATTTCCATTTTAACGGCACTGCATACATTAGAGTTCCCAAAGGACATCAAGGTTTTGTAATAACAAATGCTGTGCACTGTAAGGTGATGTGCTCTTTGGACAAAATTTCAAAGGCTGGCGTCTCAGTTGTGGTAGGAAAAGGTACAAGGGATGTAACTGTCATAATTGGTGAGGCACTGCATGTGCATTTTGAGAGGTTTATGTACGGAACGTATTCACATAAATTTTGTGTGTAAAATGGTGCTTACGCAGTTGGAAACTTGACCCAAAAGGCTTTGTATTTGTTTTAAAGTGGAAACATTGGAAGGTCAGAATTTAATTCTGACTCTTGTTTGTGTTCACTGTTCACTGGTGGAAAAAAAGAGTTCTCCTCTGCCCATGTCTAGTAATAAAATGTTTTCCCAAGGATCATGTGGGAAACCCTCCAGTAAATGATTGTGGAATAATCTGCCAAGGGAAGACATTTATTTCCAACCTCTGTGATTTTTATCCCCTAAACCAATAAGGTTTGTATTGTTGTCTTTCTTGAGACCAGCGAAGTTTTTGCTCATAATAGTATCTCATAGCAGTTAACTTTTTACCAGGCTGCGGATCTATGTTTAGAAAACAGTAAAAATACTCAGAGATTTTAAATTCCTTAGAGACCTTACTTCTGCCTTAGGGTAAATAAAATTATACTCCAGAGAAGTCCAAGTTCCACTGAAATAGTACAACTTAATATAGGTAAAGTGAGAAGTGTTGGTTAAGTCTGAGTAAGAAACGGGTTAGGGTATGGTTTCCCTTGCTTTGTTGAATAAATACACTGATGCAGCTCATGCTTGTAATTTCCTGGTGTTAGTATTTCTTTTTCCACATAATTCCTGATTATAGCTGTGATTACAGTTTACATTGTCACAGGATCAGTGAGAAGGAAAGCATAAATTCATTAGTATTAGAAAAGCAGTAAGACATTGCAAGTTTCACTGAGAAAAGATCAGGATTGAGTGTGATGGTCACAGGTATGCTCAAACAGGAAGTGTAAAGGCTGGAAATGCTTTACTCCTTTCTAGAAAAAAGATGTTACTGCTGTTGTTGGGAGCAATATATCTGTTCATTGACTATTCCATATGACTATGGGATGTCAGAGACTGCAGCTGGTATAAAATAGCTGGGTAATATCATATCCCCGACAAGCACCACTGATGCTACTTGTCATTCCCCGTAAAGAAAGAAGATGTGTTCTATAATAAGGTCTAATATGTCTTAAATATGGAAATATTTCAAGAGATATGTACTCTCTCAGCAGGACTCTTGCAGTGATGCAGAGAGGACGATGGAGTGCTGCCTATTAAGTTAGAAAAATTACTTGCTGTCACTTAATTGACAACTTAGTGAGGATAGTATTTTGGCAGATATCTGGAAGAGATTTTATCTTCCGAGTCCTGAAGACAGTGCTTATTAGTTATGTTCTCACACTGATAGAGTAACTGACAGCCTTCTGTGCCTCTTGGCAGCTAGTTTTAGCTCAAAAAGGATTTGTGGATCATCAGGACTTCTGTTTTTCAGTTTACACTTTGTCTCCAAAGATTTAGTTTCTTATATGATCCGTAACTCTGAATTTAGGGGCAAAGGATAGTTGCAGCTGGCAAGAGTCTTGGCTTCATTAAGCTAAATCTGGTTTTTGTTATAGGTTAGAAAAGCTCTGGAAGAGCTAAGCAGCGTGTGTCTAGATGAACCAAATAATCTGCTCTGCTTGCTTCAACCTCGTGCTGTGCAAGGAGATTGTTCTCAAGTGTTAAAAAAATCCCCAAACAGTGTTTACAACTCCCTGTCAAAACAGCAAGGCTAGGGAGGAGATTGGCAGTGGTGGCACTCTTCCTGGTGGGAAGGGTGACACAGCATGGAACAGCAGCTCTGTTGGTTTGGAGCTAGTCCATTTGATAATTGGCGTTATCAAAAAGAGGAGTGACAGTCCCGTCTTTCCACTCGATGAGGATTTCTCCACGCCTCAGGGAAGGGGAGCGAGATGGTGGAAGGTATGTCCGGGGACCTCTTTGTAAGGGAGACGGCTCCCGTAAGTCAGCTCTGCTGCTGTTTGCTGCGGAGCTCTTCAGAGCAGAGAGGATTTTCTTCTTCCTAACAGGAGAGAGAAGAGGGTACGTAACTGCATCTGCCTGACACTTGGTTGCTTCTCCATGTCAACTGGTTCAGCAGCCACAGTGCCCACATTGTCTAAATTGCCCTTCAGGGATGGCATGAGGTGTTCAGGAGAGGAGGAGCCAACATTATCAGGTGCGTTTGGATGGGGTTGAGTGAGAGGGAGAAACAGGGTGGCAAAGAGGAGAAATCATCAAGGGTGACATCTTGGGTGAGCAGACCCATCTGAATGGGGAAGGGTGCCAAGATCAAGACTTCTGTTTTGAAATGCTGTACAGGGATGTGTCAAATTGGATGAATCTAAATCTCAACTTACTTGTTGTAATGGACATTGAGTGTCAGTATTATTAATCCCAGTATGAATGCCAAGGGGCTGAGGACCAGCATGGCTGTCTTCCAGTTGGTGCCTGAAAGGATATGATGGAAAACAATCATGTTTGCTGTACCTATCCCCATACTTATGCAATAGCCATGATTGCCACAAAAAACACCTGTAGTGTCCCTGAAGACTTTCTGATAGCAGGAAAAGTGCTTTTCCTATGAGACCAACATCATACAGCTGCTTAACACCTCACAGCATTCCTTTATTGAAAACAGCCACAAAAAGGTTTTCTTTCTCACTAGGAATACAATACCTATTCATGCTTCTGCACTCTGCAGCTCTCTGATACAAAACAAGAAGGGCTGGGGGAAGGCACCAGTGCTGGTGGATATCTGTTTCTCCTGGTGAGCTGGGACAAAGGATTTGCATGGTTTTGCTCACTTTTTTACTCGAGGCCTGGGAAGATTAAGTAAATCTTTGACAGGAGTTTTTCTGACAGGTAATTTGGTGCCCTAGTTCCCTACTGAGCACCCTCCTCAGATGGGAGGTCAGGGGCACTGATGAACCCTCATCTACCCGGTCTCTTCCTCCTCTGTCTGATCCTTGGACCTACCTGCAAGCCTGGCCCCAGCATTTTTCCCTCGATTTCCATGGTGCTTTTTCGAGTGATTATGGGGTACATCTGAGGGAAGAAGAGAAACTCAGATTAGCAGCTTCCACTGTTGGACAGGAGGAGGTTCCAACTTCCTCCTGGAGCTGCACAGATCCCCTTTGTGCAGAGCAGGAAGGGAAGAGGAAACTTTCTTGTTCCTCAACATTCCCCAGCCACCGGATAATTTTTGCTGCTAGAACATCCGGCTGTGCCTCCAGGTTAAGGCTATGAGTGCATCACTGAACTGCCAGCCAGGGAAAACATCTCAACGTGTTGTGTGAAAGCGAAGCCTTGAACTGTTCAGTGGTACACACGGAAGTCCTTCA